CCTCCTCCTCCTCCTCCTCCTCCTCCTCCTCCTCCTCCTCCTCTTCTCTTCCCTCCCCTCCCTCCCTCCATCTCAGCCTCTCTGTTTTCTTGCCCAGGACTCGGAACAAGCCCTGACCCCAACCAAGGACCACAAACCGGGGCCCATCGGCAACGAGCGCTCCTTGAAAAACCGAAAAGGCTCGGAAGGGTCTGAACGGCTGGAGGGCAACATCGCCCCCACCAACGGGGTGGAGATTCACGTGGATTCGGTTCTCCCCGTCCCGCCCATTGAATTCGGAGTGAACCCTAAAGTGAGGCCCCTTTGCGTTTCCTTCTTCCTTTCCTTGGGCATCTCTCTCTCTCTCTCATTTCTCCTCCCTTCCAAGAGTCCCAAGTCGAAGGGGACAGTCCCCTCCTCAATTTTCCTCCCCTCCCAAAGAAGAAAGCAGGTGTGTGGAGGGCCAACTAATCAAAAGGTGCATTTGCCCCACACACCTCTCCCAAACTTGGGCAACTTAAAGACTTGTGGACTTCTACTTCCAGAATTCTGGGAGTGGAAGTCCACAAGTCTTAAAGTTGCTGAGTTTGGGGACCTCTGCTTTGAGAGGTTTAACCCTCCTTGCTTTCCAGTAAACCCAGTTGCAATGTGGAGGGTTGATTGGTAAAAAGAGACCGATTTGTTGCAGGATTCGGACTTCAATCTCCCCCCTGGCTCATCTCCTGGCACCCCGGCCAACCCAGTTGCGAAGTTACAGAACGTGCTAGCCAGCAATGTAAGAATATTTTGTGGTTGGTGTTTTGGCTTCTCTTCACTCTTCGTCTTGTCTTCTTCCTCCTTTTCCTTCTCTTTCATTTTCCTCTCTTCCTTCGTCTTCTGCTGCTTTCTTGTTCTTTCCCATCTTCTACTACGCCTCTTCCTCTCTTCCTTTTTCTTCTCCGTTATCTTTTTTTCATCTTTTTCCTTCTTCCCCTTTTCCTCTTCTCTCCCCCACTTCAGCTTCCCCTCCCGTTTTCTTTTCCTCGTTTTTCCAACTCCTTCTCCACTTCCTCCTCCTTCCTCCTTTCCTCCATCTTTTTCTTCTTTCGTTTTCCTCTCTTTCCACTCCTTCACCGTTTTCTTCTTCCCTTTGTTATTTTCCCCCTTCTTACTTGCTCTTGTTTTATTCACCTGCTCTTATTTCATTCTTCCCCCTTTTTCAGTTTCTCCTTCTCTACTTCCTCCTCCACCTTCCTCTCCTCCTTTTGGAAATCAGGTGGAGATCTTCCCCGTCGTTTGGGAAATTACACACAGCTTAAAATGTGATTTGCATGTGCTTGTGTCTGTGTTTATGTGTGTACTGCTCTACAATCTCTTTAAGAACTGATCTCCCAGCCTGCTCCTTTACTCACTGTTAATTCTGTCCTATTCTTTGTTTGACTGTACATTAGGTTTCCACCCAAATGTTTGCTGTCGGTTAACTGAGGCTCTTTTTCTTTCCACGAATCTTACAGAATTCTGCAAACCCAACAAGGTTTAATTGTATCCCATCTATGTTTCAACAGTCTGGATTAACCCAATCCCTCCCTGTTATTCGAAGAGACCATCAACTTCCCCGTTGCATCAGCTTAAACATATCTTATCCTACGGCAGATCTCACTCTTAAAGTAAGTTTTTGTGGATGGGGTTAACTCCCCAAAAGAGAAGGCACTTTGATGGACAGGTATCACTGCCAATGATGGACCACTGTCATCTCCCTCTCTGAGGAAGATGGGCAGATAAGAAATATGAACTGTAAATAAATAAAAATTAAAAGCATACATTTGTCATCCTCAGGGCCTTAATCAGGGTAACCAGATACAGGTAGTCCTCAGCTTGTGACCACGATTGAGCCAAAATTTTATGTTGCTGAGTGAAATATATGTTATTTCTGACTTTCTGGCCCGTCCTTTGGATGCTACGATGCTAATTCTTGTCCCCCCCTGTCCTCCTGCAGATGGAGTCAGCCCGAAAGGCGTGGGAAAACTCTCCCAGCCTTCCCGAACAGAACTCCCCCGGAGGCGTTGGCTCTGGCATTCAGCCTACATCCAGCATTGGGGTTTCCAGTGGGGTCAGCTACAGCTCCTTTGGGGGTGTTTCTGTCCCCCCGATGCCCGTGGCCTCTGTGGCGCCTTCTTCGATTCCAGGTGCGTCCATTTTTTTGAGAGCGGTGGGAAGAACTTGTAAAGACATGCTCTGCAAATGGTTGCTCTGACTAGGATTCGAAAATGTATCAGTCCTGGCTTATGGCTGTCCAGTTAGTCTTTCATTTCTGGTCACTTCTGCTTCTCTTTGTGCCTCATCAGTGTTACTTTACTCCTATTCTATTGTAAGCTACATTAACAGAATCGTTAGAAAATCTGTTTATATATAGCACCTCAGAGCAAACAAAGAGTACAATCACCATGTGCTTTACTGCTTAACTATTTAACTATAACAGCAAATTCTGCTTAGAACAAAAGAGCATAGAGTATATACCCTCGATCCAAACTGGTAAATACTGCCATCTGCTGGCTTAATACTACTGTAGTTGTGGCATAGATACATATTCCGACAAGAATTTTGCAAGTCTGGAAGTATAATTCTCCCACATTTCTCCAGGGAAACTATTCGCCTGAGAAACTAGGGAAGGTCAATTCTTGAGTCTCTCCCCTTCTCCATCTGCAGGCTACGTAGTCTCTTTCTGATTGTACCCTAGACAGTGTCTTTGGGCACTACATCCCATGATGATTTCCACATAGCATAGCAGAAGGACTCGTGCAAGCTACATTGAAAGCTTCCTGTTGTAGTCTCTGTGATGTTTCCAATGGATCCTTCTGAGCCCCCTGATTGTGCAGTCAGTCAAAGGGCGTTTGAAGAGATTCTGTGCCTGAGAGACTCTTGGCTCTGCTGCCATGTCCAGAGAGGGGGAGAGGGACCTTTGCATCTTTAAGTGGAAGGGAGAGCGAGGGAAACATTTGCATATGGACAAGATTAACCTCTCGCTTCTTTTCCCACCCACTCCAGGTAACCACATCACACCCCTTTATTTAGATGGGCATGTGTTTGCCAGCCAGCCGCGACTTGTTCCCCCGACAATACCTCAGCAACAAAGCTACCAACAGGCAAGCCACTGCTTTGCGTGCGTGTGTGTGTGTGTGAGTGTGTGAATATGTCCTGTGTGAAGACCTGCACCAATCAACTTTGGGTGATGTTTTGAGCAAAGTTTCAACTGTACTCTTATTTTAACTCAAAAACCCAAAAGGAATCTGGAATTCTAGCAGGTGTAGGAAACGTTGGTTGAAGCTTGCAGGGGGGGGGAAAGGGCCCTTTAAGCGTATGGCCTTTGATGTGTGGACTTCAACACCCAGAATCCCTCAACCCGGATGGCCACGGCGGAGAATTCTGGGAGTTGAAAGGCCACTTCCCTAGGCGTGGACTCTTCCAGTGCCCTGAATTCCTCAACCCACGTAGAATTCTGGGTCGAAGTCCATCCCTCCCACGTTGGCCGTGAGGATGAGACCTTCCTACTTCCATCTCACGCTCGGGGGGCGGTTTCGTTCTTTCCTTCTTTTAGGCAGCTGCCGCTCAGCAGATTCCACTCTCCCTCCACACTTCATTGCAAGCCCAAGCTCAGCTCGGATTGAGGGGCGGCCTTCCAGTGTCCCAATCCCAGGAGATCTATAGCTCCATCCCTCCCTTCAGGTAACAGGAAGAGTGACCTATTCAGTGGCCCAGATTCAGCACCAAAGTCACCATTCCTCCTCCTCCTCCTCCTCTCCTTCATCTCCTCCTCTTCCTCTCCTCCTCTTCTTCTTTTTCTCCTCCTCCTCCTCCTCTTCCTCCCCCCACCTCTCCCTCCTCCTTCCTCTTTCCTCCTGGTAATGAAATGTTTGCAAGAAAGCCGCCAAGCTCAGAGAGTACCACGGACCCCGTAGTCCTCCTCCTATTCTTCTTCCTCCTCCACCTTGTGCTCTGCTGCTTTTCACCCCTGATACGCTGCTTTTTTCTCCCTTCAAGGTCTCAGGTCTACATGCACCCCAGCTTATCCCAGCCCAGCACGATGGTCCTGACAGGAGGCACAGCGTTGAAGGCGCCCTACTCCGCCTTCCCAGGGATGCAGCCTTTGGAGATGGTGAAAACGCAGTCAGGCACCCCCTACCAGCCCGTCAACGGCAGCCAAGCTCTGGTTTACGAGGGTCAGATCAACCAGGCTTCCCAAATGATGGACTCGCAGCTTCAGCAGGTCTGGTCGAATCCCACGGTGGCGGCTGTTTCCCTCAGCCTTTCGATTTAAGCAGAGGTCGGGCCAGGTCTGGAGTAGAGCAGCAGTAGTAGCAACCAGTCCAGTACTTCTCAGCCTCAGCAAAGATTGAGATTGTGGACTTCCACTCCCAGAATTCCCCCGGTCCAGCATGCTTTAAGAAGGGTGGACTTCCACTCCCAGGATTCCTTTTGGCAAAGTAGATTGGCCCTCCCCCCCTCTTCATTCTGACCCTCCTTCATATTCAAAATAAAATAAAATAAAATATATTACTGAAAAACCCCTAATTGCCACCCATCAAGCGTCTCTTCCTTGCTTATCTACCCACAGCTAACGATGTCAATTCCGGGGTCCCAGCT